GGATTTTGAGGGAAAAAAGGGGTTCTAGACACTTAAATTCTGATTTTTGGGTTTTTTTGGGGGGTCCTTGGGAGAATTTTTGGATTTTTTATTGGGGTTTTTTTGGGGGTCCTTGAGAGGTTTTTGGGATTTTTTTTTATTGGGGTTCTTGAGGGGATTTTGGGATTTTTTTATTGGGATTTTTTGGGGGATCCTTGTGAGGAATTTTAAGGTATTTTAATGGGATTTTTTGGCTGAAATTTTGAGTTCTTTGAGGGGATTTTGGGATTTTTTATTGGGGTTTTTTTGGGGGGTCCTTGAGAGGATTTTGGGATTTTTTATTGGAGTTTTTTTGGGGGGTCATTGAGGGGATTTTGGGATTTTTTATTCGGATTTTTTGGGGGTCCTTGAGGATATTTTGGGATTTTTTTATTGGAGTTTTTTTGGGGGGTCCTTGAGGAGATTTTGGGATTTTTTATTGGGTTTTTTTGGGGGGTCCTTGAGAGGTTTTTGGGATTTTTTAATTGGGGTTCTTGAGGGGATTTTGGGATTTTTTATTGGGATTTTTTGGGGGTCCTTGGGAGAATTTTGGGATTTTTAATTGGGATTTTTTGGGGGTCCTTGAGGGGATTTTGGGATTTTTTTTATTGGGGTCCTTGAGGGGATTTTGAGATTTTTTATTGGGGTTTTTTTGGGGGTCCTTGAGAGGATTTTGGGATTTTTTGGGGTTTTTTTTTGGGGGGGTCTTTTAGGATATTTTGGGGTATTTTTGGGGGGTCCTTGAGAGAATTTTGGGATTTTTTATTGGGTGTTTTTTTTTGAGTCCTTGGGAGAATTTGGGGATTTTTAATTGGGATTTTTTATTGGGGTCCTTGAGGGGATTTTGGGATTTTTTATTGGGTTTTTTTTTTTTGAGTCCTTGGGAGAATTTGGGGATTTTTAATTGGGATTTTTTTGGGGGTCCTTGGGTGAATTTGGGGATTTTTAATTGGGATTTTTTGGGGGTCCTTGGGAGAATTTGGGAATTTTTAATTGGGAATTTTTTTGGACTCCTTGTGAGAATTTTCAGATTAAAATTTGATTTTCCTCTTTTCCAACATCTCCCCTATCATTTATATTCCATTTTTTTTTGGTTCTCCACTCATTCCTATTAACTTTTGAATTTTGAATTTTTAATTTTTTTTTTTTTTTCACAGGAGATGCTGCGGCGAGTTTTGGGGGGGGGTCTGCGGGGTGGGGGAGGGGCCGCGGGACCCCCCCGTGCCCCCTCCCGTGCGGCCACCGATCAAACCCCGGCCGACCTGGCCCGGGAACGCTGCAAGGCCGTCACCTCCTTCTACCACCAGCCTGCCATCGATGCTGCTGCTGAGAGGGTGAGAAA